GGAGTAGTAGTGGTGGTAGTAGTAGTAGTAGTAGCACCCACAAACTGTCACTTCTACCACTGCTACCACTGCTGCCACTGCTACCACCACCACCACCACCACCACCACCACCACCACCACCACCACCTCCACCAGCTTGGCACCGGAAACGGAACCAGCCGAGAACAGTAATCCCGTAAACCTCTGAACTCACACCTCCAAGTCCTTAATTTAATCCTTAACCACCAAAATCCTAAACCATCAACCCTAACAGCCCTCAAAGCCCGTGAAAAGCCTGATAACCCTAAACCTCAACCCCAGACCCTAAACCCTAGACCTTCAAAGCCCTAAGCCTTAACCCCTGACCAGGATGGACAGGGAGGCCCACTTGTAGCCCAGTGCTCTCTGAGTTCAGTTTGGTTTAGGGTTTAGGGATTGTGGTTCAGGGGCTTTGGGTTTAGGGTTTGGAGTTTAGGTTTAGGGCATTAGGTCTTTAATAGGGTTCAGGTTTATAACGCCATCCCATAAGGTTCCTTAATGATGGTATACTCATAGCGGTCTCGGGTTTAGGGTTTAAGGTAAACCCTCTTCTAACTCCTAGGGCCCCGCACTCGGTGCGTTGGAAGGTTTCGGGCCTTGCCACGCTTGGCTATTTTAAGGTCTTTTGGGGTCAACGGCCTCGGATTAGGCAGGGGTATTGCCAGACCTTCCCAAATCCCTTAACTAATTATAATTCATACCGTATATTTTAAACCCTACTTTAATTTCATTTGAATTCCTTACTTGAGGGATTTTGGAACAATGGTTGCTATGCGGGCTTTCGGGTTTTGGGTTTTGGGTTTGAGTGTTTTGGGATTCGGGGTTTGGTTGAAGGGTTGAAATTCTCGTTTGGGGTTTGGCAGGGGGCGTTTTGTTGGGGTGGCTCGGAACAACGGTGCAAACCAACGACATAAAGCCTCTGGGGTGTGATACAGACAGTTTCAATCTTCAGGGCTTGAGGGCTAAAGCAGGTCCCCTTCAGCAAGTCATTCCCCCCCTTACCATTTAGGCCTCTAGAGGAGAGGTGTTTCATGGCTCCTTTCAGAAGGGGTTCCTTGCAAGGGGTTTGCTCGTCAACATCGGGGCCGGAATCATTACCAAGAATATTCCGGGAGTTCATTCTGAGTTTTACTTACAATGTTTTACAGTAGAATATACCACATGAACCTATTCTACAAACAAATTCTTGAAGCCCCAGAAGCCCCTCTGCTACGATTCTTGGCCTTGGTTATAGGGTTCCGTTCAGTCCGTTTCTTAGCAGGAGTTCGGGTTTAGGATTTCGGGTTTAGGGTTTAGGACACCTGGTCGGTATACGGTAAAGAACATTCGGCAGGGTATGGGGTTTCGGGTTAAGGGTCCAGGTTACACAGACAGCGCCAGCGTTTCGGGTTTAGGGGTCTAGGGTTTAGCCCTAAACCCTAAACCCTAAACCCCAAAGCCTAAACCCTAAACCCATGGTCATCCTCCTGACTACCTCTGGGTTGTATGCCGATGCACTCGTGGCTGTGCCCCATCTACCGGTTCAGGGTTTAGGGTTCAAGGTTTAGGGGGGTTAGGGTTCAGGGTTTAGGGTTACGGTTTAGGGTTTAGGGTGCCAGACCTGGCGAACCCTACATCAGGTGCGGCAATCAAAGGCCCACACACTTAATATAGTGGCCGCAATAATTTCCTATGCTATTCTGGGGGGGGGGGCCCTTATTATCATACTTACTAAGGCTCCTACATTACATAGTTGCTGCAGGGGTGCATTCATCCCGGACACTTTCTTCGAGAGCCAACTCTGCATAGTCTGCAACCTGAGTTGGAATTCAACATGGACATTAACATACGACGCGATCTACCATGACCTCAAACCTCGCACCCTCTAAACCGAAAGCACTGTTATACCGCAATGACTGAAGCCTGAATCCTTTACTGGAAGGATTGAGCTGAACAAACCTTTCACCCTAAGCCCTAAACAAATCTTGAATCCTGGCCCGAAACAAATCCTGAGCGCGAAACAATCTAAATGCAAAACGAAGCCAAAACTCCGCGCAATTCCTACACCCTAAACCCAAAACAACACCTAAACCCTAAAACACTCCTACACCCTCAAACCCGAAGCCCTAGCCCCAATCCCTAAACCCTAAACCCCACTGCATTCCTTTTTTTTTTTTTACAAAAACCCTAAACCCCCTAATCTCTGCACCCTCAGCCCCTCGACCCGGCAGAGGCCTCGAGTACGCCAAGGGACTTCGGGCAGCTCGGCCCGCAAGCAGGCAGCGTTGAAGGTTTGGGGTTTAGGGTTGCTTGTCTCGTTTTATGCTAACCTATGTCTTTGTAAGTCGAAGTGCCCCGATAATTTCATCATAAGAAGCCTACAAACAAGTATGGCTGGTGTTGCCTGGCCCAGTAGAAACCATTTGCACATTTAGGGTTTGGGGTTCCCTTATTGAATCTTAACAACAGTGAAAGGGGTACCCTTATCATTAAAGGGACACTGGGGAACTAGTGTCGCTTCAAGAGTAAATTGTCGTGTGTTTTGTTAAAATCAGTTTCTCATGTTTCTGTTTAAGTTGGGTATCGCGTTTCAAGTGGTTAGCAGATTTTGCTGTTCTGTTTCAAGACTTAGATATAGTGATTATATCGGGTTTGTTAGGTTGTCATAGGCTTTCATAGGGCTATGCATGTGTACATGTGTATGTGTATGTACATGTATGTGTACACATATATATATATATATAGAAATTATAGAAATATAGGCGGATACATCTTATGTAAGTACAGAAAGCTGCACATTTTTTCTGCAGAAAGGGCAGCCCAACCCTACATCGCCTTATCCGACACCCTGCGCTTTCCAAGGAGGCCTCGTCGGAGATGTCGCTCTACTCCGGAACGCATTGCCCCTTGTCTTTTGCGGGATCCAGATTTCCTTTCGGCCAGGATGGAGGGGCTGGTTTAACTGGGTGTTCTTTTTGGGGGGGTTTAGTAGAGTTGAGGGCCTAGGGTTTAGAGTTTAGGGTTTATAGGGTTTCGTAGAGTTTATAGGGCGGCTTAGGGTCTAGAGTTTAGGGTTCAGAGGCTTTTTCGAACCACTCCGAGGGTTTCAACATGGAGTTCCTGTTGGGCCTCTTTCTCCTTCCAGACCCCACGCAGAGAAGTGATTCAGGCCTGAACCCCTAAACCCGAGCCCCCTAGCCCTAAAGCCATCTAACACCGAAAACCGTGGAGGGAATCATCCAAGTACCCTAAACCCTAAACCCCTAAACCAGCCTGAGACCTAACTTAGGCAGAGCAGACCTTCAGTTCTCAGATGCTGTGATTTGGGAGCCCGTTCCCTTCCTGCCAGGCTGCCTTTGGGATTAGTTTAGGAATTGGGGTTTCGGGATGCATGGGGCGTTGAGTTTAGGATTTGGCTCGGTTTCAGTTCATGGAAGCTTTTCAAGCCAGGACACGATTGTCACTATCTAAGTTTGCGAGCTTGTTTGCAGGTACTTGCCTGTTTGTCTTGGACTTGAAGCACTATTTAGCGCTGCGTTGAGGCAAGAAGGATTTCATTGAATCTTTTGTGTAAAATTCGGGT